GGAACTTGGGATCCACCCCCTTCAGAGATTCGTATCTTTGTGACCGAGGTTTCTTGATGCCATTTCTGTGCCATTTTCGGGACTGGTTGTGCGTGGTGTGGTTCTTGGACTTGGCCATAACTGCACTGTAAACCGCGGCGACCAAGCGCCTGGAACCGGAAGATGAAAAAAAAGCGTATATGTAGTTTCTTAAGTAATAATTTATGTTTTCTTTATAAGATGCCAACCCTTTTAATTTTATTATTTTTTAATTTTTGAGACAGGACCTTGCCGAATTGCCTACACTTGAGTTTCTCCTGCCTCAGCGGTGTAGCTTGTGTTATATGTGCCACAGTGACCAAGCCTGGCTTGGGTTTCTTGTTTTTATTTTTAGTTAATCACTTTTTAATTTAATCTATTGTGATTAGTAATTTTATAATTGGACAGTACAGTTTTGATAAACCAGTGATTTCTTTGTACCTGGTCCTATTGCTCCATGAAGTTAGTCTGTCTCTGAATTGTCACACCATTCTATATAAGAGCATAAAACCCACTCCATGTAGCTAAACAATATTTTTGTGTGCATAAAAACTCTTGCTAGCGAGTGATGAGATGCTTTCAAATACTCTCTTTTGAAGTATGGATATTCCTTGATTATGAACATAGCAACAAAATTATGTCCTAATAAACTGTCATTAAATTGAAAATGTCATGTTGAAAATATGTTTAATAAAGCTAACCTATAGCAACCAAGTCTACTGTAGGAGTTGTTCCCTTTCCCAGTCTTATGGCTGACTAGAAGCTGTGGCTCTGTGCTGCTGCCCAGCATCCTGAGAAAAGATCATTTTATGTATTAGCAGTCTGGAAAAATGTCAAAATTTATTTGAATTTTTTTTTTAATTTATTTTTATTTTTTTATTTTTTTACTGGGGATTGAACTCAGAGCTTTGAATTTGCCACCAGGCACTTATGCTGCTGAGCTAGCTCCCCAGCCCTAAAAATTCAAAATTTTAATAGTTCTATACCATCACATAGTTGAAAAATTAGGCCAGATATGTTAATACATGACTGTAGTCTGAGCATTCAGGAGGCTGGGACAGGAGGATCATTTGAAATCAGCAGTTTGAGATCAGCCTGGGCAACATGCGAGAACCCAATCTAAGAAACATTTGCAAAGCTGTTCATTAAAAACATTGAATAGGGGGTGGTGAGGGTTTAATTTAATGTACTGTGCCTGCTTGGCATGCATAAGACCTAGGTTTGATTCCTAATACTGCAAATAAAATGATTGAAAAGTAAGAAAAATGTTAAGTTGAGCTATTATAAGCCATTAACCCTGTAAAGTAGCAGAGACCATGGCACACACATTGACAGCCAGGACAGATGCTGCAGAGCAGATGAGTCTGGACCTTCTCTGCACTTCCACATAGTGCTTAAACTGATTTTTTTTTTTTTTTTTTTTTTTTTTAATTTTATTTGTGTGTGTGTGTGTGTGTGCGCGCGCGCGTGCGGCCACCTCAGCCCCCCAGGGGGCGGGGTTGGCTGGCATGTGATGCTGGGGGATTGAACCACGGTCCCTGTGCTTTGCTAAGCTTGTTCTAAGTAGGTGCTTTAGACCACTAAGCCATCTCACCAGCCCCTTAAACTGGTTTCTTGTGCTTTCCAAATTTATATGGATTAGTAGACTTTTAGTTTTTCATTTATCTTTCATGATCTGTAAAGTTCCTTTTTTATACCGCTGTGAAGGGAGACTCTGGAGGAGGGAGACTGAGAAAGGTGTCCCTGAGACCCTATCTCTGTGACCTGCCTATACTCTGTCTGACTAGGAAGTAGATCTCAGATGAAAAAGCCCATGGTTATCTTACTAGGAAGACATTTTGATAATTACCTATGTTTATTTGGCTTTTAATTTTTAAGGTATTTTTACGTCTGTGATCTTTATTTTTATCTTTGTAAGACTTGTTTTAGAGTTGGAAGGTTTCTCAGCACCTTATGGCACTGTAGCATATGAAAAGAGAACAATGGTTATCATAGCTGTACACTGTGAGTACTATTAACTCCAAGAGGAGAGAACTTAGGTGGGCAGGACTATGGGGTCAGGTTATCAAGTCCTTTGTGACCTTTCATTTAAGCCTCCCTTGCTATATATTTCATTGTGCTGCTGTCTCCATATGGTTTCAGACACTGTTCTGGAGGTCAGACCTGATGCTCTATAGAGCTTGCAGTGTTTGCTATACTCAGAGCTGAGCATGGTAGTGCACCATGAATCACAAAATAAGCCCCATCTGGGCACTTTAGCAATTTAGCAAGATCCTGTTTTAAAATTAAAAATATAAAAAAGAGCCAGGGATATAATTCAGTATAAAGACCTTGGGTTCAATTTTAAGTACCTTGTGGCGGGGTGGAGCTGAGTGAGGGCTCTGGAAATGTGTCATGGATAAGAAGTCTTAAAATTAATGGTTCTTAGGGGCAGCAGATAGCTCAGCGGATTAAAGCTCTGGCAAGCAGGTGCAGGGGCCGGAGTTTGATCTCCTGGCGTGCCATGCCGTCCCCGTCCCCAGGACGCGCTGAGCTGGCAATTGAGACTGGGCGTGGTGGCATGTGCCTGTAATCCCAGCTCTTGGGAACCTGTAAACAGGCAGATCACTATGAGCCTGATCTAGTGGTGAGACCCTGAATACCCTGTAGACCTTTTTTTCCCTATAAAATGCAGGGGACAAACAAACAAAAAACTAATGGTTCTTGAAAAATGAGAAACCAACTGTTTTCAGGCATCAAATGATTCATATTCTTAAATAGCAAATGTGTCTACAAGGAGGCAGTAGTTAACACACATAATGCATTCTTGCTTTTTATAGTTCAACTTTTACTAGTTTGATAAGATGGTAAGACTATTTGAGCCACAACTTTTGTTTGAATGAGAGACACTGTAATGCCATGTACAGCTTTGGTAAGGGGACAGGTCTCTCTGAATTCAGTGTACATAGAATGTCAAATGCAACCATGTCACTCTACCACACAAACTCCCTTTTCTCACTGTAAAGATATTTAAGAATCATTAGGTGAACTTAAGCTTCTGGTGTTCCGTTCTGGACATGGGTCCTGCTTGCTATCCTGTTGACATCACTAATTCAGTAGAAAGGGTCAGACAATGGATTAGTGACCTCTTGTCCTCACTTCTCATCTCTCCTGTGTCTCCCCCACCCCCACCCCCAACTAGTAGAACAGGATACTGTATAGTCTTTTCTCTTCAAGGAACTGACGGTGGTGGGACATCATCTGGAAATGTATCTGGAGTTGCCCCTGCAGGGGGCTCACGCTCTTCCTCCCGGAACATCGGGTCTTCGGGGACTGAGAAGGAAGAAGGCAAAAAGGTCCGGCGGCAATGGGAGTCATGGAGCACGGAGGACAAAAACACTTTCTTTGAGGGACTGTATGAGGTAAGTGAGTTGTAGAGGTGAGAAAGGGTGGACAGAGGGTCTCCCCCTCACTCTGGTTTCTACACTGCTCACTTTGCCTTTGCCTTTGCCTTCCTTTGGCACATGGCTTAGAGATGAACAGCAAGCCCTGAAGTGGCTAAAAATATGGTCCCCTTGGTAGGCCTTGGCATTTTATGCTTTCACTTTTTTCTATGATTTTTAAATAGCTATTGTCTGACCTTCTGTGTGTGTGTGTTATTGGGATTGAACTCAAGGCTTTTACTCTTGAGTTACCCTTTTTATGTTTTATTTTGAGACAGGATGTCCCTAAGTTGCCCACAGCAGGCTTGAACTTAAGTCCTTTTGTCTGAGGTTTTTTGTTTTTTTAAATGTATTTAGTACAGGGTCTCATTATGCAGCTTGGACTCCTGGTGATCCTGTTTTCAGCCTCCTCAGCCCTGGGATTACAGGTGTGTGCCACCACGCCTGGTCTCAGTAGCCAGCTCAGCATATCCGGGTTGGTGGGGGGTGGCTGTGTAGCATGTTGTGTCGGGGATCGAACCCTGGTCCCTGTGCTTGGCTAGGCAGGCACTTAGTCTGCTGAGCTATTTCTCCGGCCCTTGTCTGGGTTTTTCAAGTAGCTAAAATTATGGTATATGCTACTTACTATACCTGCATTATTCGTGGTGTTTCATAGTTCCTTTGCTCATTTTTTGTGAATGCCTATAAATATTGTGCTTTAGCTATAGAACTGGCCTATGTGTATACTGCATATCTTTATAAATAGATTTATTGGAGCACGCCATTTCTTTGTGTGCTATCTGTAGGTGGTTTTGGTCCTGAGACAGAATTTAGTAGTTTCAGCAGATATTGAGTGTCCCTCAAGTGTGGCCCATTTCTGTAGTAGTTAACCATTCTTGAATTGTGGATTACTGAGGTTCCTTCCAGATTCAGTTGTTAGGAATAATGCTACAGTAGAACATGTTTGTGTATATTCCTTATTTTAGATGATTTCTTTGGCACATAAAGGCTAGGAATAGGTTACTAGAACAACAGTCTTGTCATTTTAATAGCTAATTTACTGGAGTAATAGGAAAGTCTTAGCAAGCATGGGAAACAGAATCTCTGTAAAGGAATGAAGCTTTGGAATTTAAACCATGAAGTGTTTACAGAAGGATTAGAAAAGGGGATACTTCTGAATGTGAGCACCAGATTTGATTTTACCATATTCCCATGGCTAATATTGGTCCCTCCTGGGGCCAGATGGCTAAGATCTGCCTATCCTAGCTGCACAGGACTGATGTATCAGCATGGTTTGACTCTTATTGTCCTTAGAAAATGAAATGTACTCACAAGACTTGTTTTTTTTTTTTTAATGTATTTGGTACAGGGTCTCACTGTGCGGGACTCATAGTGATCTTCCTGTTTCCAGCCTTGCCAGCGCTGGGGTTATAGGCATGTACCACCATGCTCAAACTTGGGATCCGGGGGCTGGCTCAGCATGCCTAGGGGTGGGGCCAGAGTGGCATGTGGTGTCAGGGATTGAACCCAAGTCCTTGTGCTTGTCTAAGCAGGTGCTTAGTTTGCTGAGCTATCTTGCCTGCCCTATACAAGGCTTGCTTTGATAGATGCAAAAAATTTTAAGTAAATACAAGAGTGTTTTAATTAAGTTTTACAATAAAACATAGAGGTTGCCTTTGTATAGGGACTATCCCTACATTATGTCTTCAATTAATTACTTGTTGGGCATAGGAGACTTGTGATTCCTCCTTGTTATCAAAATCTGCCTCTCTCTCTCTCTCTCTCTCTCTCTCTCTCTCTCTCTCTCTCTCTCTCTTGCCTTGCTATGTAGTCCAATTTGGCCTTGAATACGCTTTGTAGCCTAGGCTAGCCTCAAACTTGTGATCCTGCCTCAGCTTTCTGAGTGCTGCATGACAGACCTAGCTTAAAGCTAGTTATTGCCTACTCTCATCTGAAACCATCATTTTTTTTTTTTTGTTCCTCGAATGACCATCATTTTTTTTTTTATTTATGTATGGGGGGGGGGCAGCTCAGCCCATCAGGGGGCGGGGCTGGCTGGCATGTGGTGCTGGGGGATTGAACCGTGGTCCCTGTGCTTTGCTAAGCTTGTTCTAAGTAGGTGCTTTAGACCACTGAGCCATCTCACCAGCCCTACCATCATTTTTATAGTGTGGCTTTTTTTTTTTTTTTTACCAGAATGACTGAGCACTGTGAGGTCTACTATCCTGGATACAGAAAGTATAGAGTATGAGATGTGGTTGACTAAAAGTAGGGAAAGGATTTCTGTCACAACCTGCTCTTTGCTCTTGTTCATATGAATTCATGCATTCCCTTCTTCTAACCTTGATTTCTCGTGTGTGTGTGTGTGTGTGTGTGTGTGTGTGTGTGTGTGTGTGTGTTAGTGGGGAGCGAACCCAGGGCCTTTACATTGAGCTACATCCCCAGCTCTTTTTAAAATTTTTATTTTGCCAAGGTGTGGTGGCACATATCTGTAATCCCAGCACTTGGGAGGCTGAGGCAGAAGGATGTTTCAAGTTTGAGGCCAGCCTGAGCTACAAAATGAGTTTAAGGCCTGCCTGAACTGCATATGGCAAGACGATCTCAAAAAGATAGAAGTAAGGACCAGGGATATAGCTCAGCAGCACAGCATTTGCCAGGCAAGCACAAAATCTTGTGTTTGATTCCTGGTAGCCCTAAGACAAAAATAAAATTTTAATTTTGAGATAGGGATTTGCTTAGTTGTACAGGCTGGTCTTTAATGTATGATCCTCCTGCCTAAACTTTTTAGAGTACTTGGATAATGTGAATACACTTGATTTCTTCTTTCTACCAGGCCAAAATTTGATATTAGATCTTCTAAAATCTTTGACTAGTAATAATTAACTGTTGTAAACAGCCAGTTAATGCCCTCTGCTGCTGGTACTGTGTATCTCAAATAGTGTGATTTTATGAGAGTTTGAGCACCAGAGAACAAGCACACATGCCTTATGCCTGTCATTGTATTAGTCTGACCAAGACTAGGTAGGGCTCTGAGGGGTTCTTGATGTGTAGCAGATCAGTAAGGACAAGAATAAGACCCCATTTCTAGCTGTGGGATGATAGTGGTTACCCACAGGCCTCTGCTTTGAGGAGCACTGTTTTTGTAATGTTTGTTAAGATTTGCAGCCCGTTCCCCCTTTTTGTGGTTAGAGATCAAACTGAGGGCCTTTGTGTGCTAATAAGCACATGTTTTACCCCTGAGTTTTATTCCAAAGACCCTTGCTATCTTGTTGATAGCACATTTGTGATCTACTTTTGTTTCCAGTGTTGGAGACTAGCTCAGAGCAGCACCAGGAGCATAAGAAATTGAATAACTGTTCTGAGCAAGAGAGGGCTGACTAGATGCAGGGACTTTGCAACTGTTCATCCTGAGCCTCAGTGTAATTGCTTCTTTCCTCCCTCTATTTCTTTTGTGAGGCCAGTGCTTCCCCAGCTCTGCCCCCAGTTCAGATTTGTGTGTTTTCAGTGATGACCTGTCCATGCTCCCTTTTTGCAGCTAGGAATGAGTCCTGATCCTTTTTCTGGGAGAAAATAGGGTAGAGAGGTGAGTGGGTTGAACACTTAGTCAGACATCACTCAAGACCTGCTTTTCCCATCTGTCTCTTAGTGCCCTTCTGTTTCAACCATGGTTCTGCAGAGTCTACCACTAAGCGTTTATTTTATTTCCCTTCTTAACATCTGTCCATCTGACCAAATGCATGTTTGTTTCCACCATATCTTGGTTACCTGCCTTTCAGCTTCCTGGCCAGCCTCTTGTTCTGATTTCTCACCTTAATGAAAACTACTGACAGCCTCATCTCTCCTGTGCTTTGTAATAGGATTCCTTTTGCTGCTGCTCTCTGCACCTTCCTAGTCTTCTGCAAATGTCATGCAGGGGCATCTGGCTCTTTTGCCATACATGTTAGGAGTGTTTATCTCTGACTTTGGATAGTGTTCTCTTATGTTAAACTTTGTCTGTTTTTTGTTGCCCTTGCTACCACCATTCATTGAGTTCATAACTAGTCAGAGGAGGACATAGTATCTTAGTTACTTTTCTCTCATTGCTGAGACAAAACAACTGATGCCCCAAATTAAGGAAAGAAAAGTTTATTTAGCTCAGTTTGTGGAGGTTTCAGTTGTTTCCAGTGTTGGGGACCAGCTCGGAGCAGCACCAAGGGCATAAGAAATTGAGGGGTAACAGTTCAAGGTGGCAGAAGACTGCAAAAGGAGCTAGAGCAAAAGGTGGGAAATAAGCCACTTCCTCCCTTATATTGTAAGCAGGCTACCTGCCCCAAGGCTATGTAACACTCACTTCATCTTATTGCCTTCTGTAGGCTCTGGATATTTACAAAGTTGGGGCCCTTCCCCCCTGTTGAGTCACTTAGTTAAACTTCTAAACTTTTCAATTTGACACAATGAATCAACCATTACAACATTAATCAGCTGCCTTAGGGCATGTCTTCTGCATCCCTGCATGCAGAACTGCTGAGTTACTTGGTTAAGCTCTAAACTTCTCAAGTTGACACAATGTATCAACCATTACCCTCAGTTATGCTGAAAGTGCACAGAAGGTCTTGCCCATGAGGGGCTTACCACCTGTTTTTTTGTTTTTTTTCTTTTCAAAGTTTTATTGATAAACATATAGCAATGAGACAGTTTCAAATCAAATCGAAAGTACAGTTTCAACAAATAATACACTGCATA